GGAGCGCCTGTGACTCTCTCTTCTGTGCACTTTCTGCTGTTGGTAGGTAACCCGCTTTCGGAGCTGCAGAGGTGGGAGGATGTCGAGCACAGCTCCATCAAAGAAGCCTTACCGCAAGGCACCCCCACAGCATCGTGAGATCCGCCATGAGGTACCCATCATTCGTGATGACCAGGACGGAGTGATCTTGGCCGAGCAGAGTCAGGTAACGGCTTGCCGGGTGGCAAAGGGCTTAACACCATTGCACCAGCAAACAGGGTTTAGTTACACCAAGGCAGGCCAGCTCAAGCAGGCAGAGGGGTTTGAGGTTTGCAACTTGAACTTCTCCTCATCGTGGTCCCTGGAATCCAGCAGTGAGAAGGAAGTGACAGGGTGCAGAGCAGAGTTGAGCATCAAGAGTCAGACTGTCTCGCCAGTACTTCCACGTGGTGGGAAGATGGGGCAGCGAAGTGGGAAGCAGTGCCCAAACCGCAGTCGTGGGCACCTCAGCAAATTTGTGAGCCGTAGCATGGAGACAGTTGTGGTATCTGGAGATGAAAGACACCGTCCCACTTGCTCTTTCAAAAGCAGAAGCCTGGAACGCTCGCTTATGTTTAAAGAGCCTCCTGAAGTCCTGACACCGAGGAAGTTTCGGGTTTCCTCTACACACCTGCCTCTCAAAGGGATCCTGAAGCAGACCAACATGACAGGCTCATGCCCTGAGGGCTTACGCAAGTCCCACTCAGTAGAGACACTTTCCCGTGACCGTGGCTCACGCAAGTACAGTGATCCTCAGCTTTGCCTCGGCCGTAGGCAGAAGCGCTCACTTCAGCACAGCAGCAGTAGTGCTGCTGACTCTGTCAAGCACAAGGAGAAGATTACAGAGGAAAAACTGCAGTTCTCCAAATTTCTGGATGAGATCACCCAGCGGGTGCTGAGTCCCATCCGCTTGCGCTCACTGGGAGAGTCCAGGGGAGCAGAACAAGACCAGAACTCTCCTCTTTGCCCCAGAAGCTCTGTGCCAGAAGGCCAAGGGGAAGGTCACCTGCAAGGGGTCAAAACCAAGCGTGCAACTGAAAGATCCCCCTGCCCAAGCAGAAGAAAAGCAGAAAAGAAATGTGAGGGGCTGGGAATGGCTTCGTGCCAGAGAAAGTGTGCTGAGGAGGCTGAGAGAGCTTCCAGACTAAGAAAGAAACCCATCCTTGGGAGGAAGGACAGTAAGGAAAAACTCCTTTCCTTGGAGAGAAGGGTAGTAGATCTGTGTCAGTATGAGCTACAGCAGCTGGCAGACCCAGGGCTGGCGGGGACATCCTCTGGGCAGCAGCACTCACTGTCTTCATGGAAAAACAGTGCAGAGGGCAGAAGGGCTGAAAGCAGTCCCTGTTCACGGCTATTACAGCCACACCATCTGTGTGCTAAACTTGGGCAGAAGCGTGCAGTGGAGCCGAACTACCCAGACAAAGGATCCTTCTCCACTCCAACACGCTGGAGTCGGGAGGAGGGGCCTACCCCATCTAGATCCTTCCCTTCCTTCAGCCTGGCACTAAACAAGGTAGGTGCCACGGCGACCGGCTCACTGACAGGGGTCTCACAAAGGCCAAAGCCCCCACCTGGATCTCTTCTAGTCTGTAATGCCAGTGGGGAGACTGAGAGCAGGCCCTCAAACATCATGTTGTGGGTGCTTAATCGCCAGAAGCAGCTCTCTTCTTGGTGCCACTCATGGCTATGCTCCAGGTTGGGTATATCTTCCTGGGAGGAACCAGCTTTCCGTTGGCCCCAGGAGTTAGGAAGGCAGGAGCTGATGCTGCTCTCCAGCTCCTGTAGGAGAGACCCTCCAGGCTACAGGGCAGCAGGCGTGTGCAGGAGGCAGGCATCTCTCTTGTCAGGAGGTGCTGGGATACTCCCAGTCCTTTGTGTGTGCCCTGTGCCTGCTGTCTTGCAGTACTGGATCTTTGTATGATGGCTGTTTCAAGTCTTTGTAAGCTTTCTCTTTTTTCCAGCCTGCTTTGGGGCCATCGCCTTGTTTTAACAGGAATCACATTATCCCCTTTGCCTGGTCACTAGCATCTGCTGTGTATGTATTTGTGGGGGGTAGAGGAGGCAGTTGCTATGTAATTCTGCATGAATTAACCGATTGCCATGTGGGGTCAGGATGTAAGAAAAGAATGGATTGATGCTTTCTTTGCCTTTAGGGACAGGAGGTTGTATGCAGGTGGTAAGGACCATTCTTTTAAAGTGTGACTTGATGAAGGAAGCAGCCCCATGATGTCTCAGGGACAGGACTGGGGTGGTTTGCCTTCTGTAATATTGCTAGCTGCTCAGCAACCTCATCCACAACGGCCTGTGTCATGGCCTCTCAGCCCAGAGCTGGCTGTGACACTTAATGGACAATCTAAAGTATGGCAGCACTTCGGGTTTGTGCAGTGCTGTTGGTACGAAACACCAAAAATAATATATGGGCAACTTGGACTTTGTGAGAGTGGTCACAGTCTTGGGCTTTCACAGAAAATGTGTTTGCTTCTAGTGCTAATTAAATCTCTCCCAGGCGTGCTGGCAGGCAGCAGCCATCTCACGGGTTAACACAGAGAGTGCAAAGGAAGTGAGAATAGCTGAGCCGTGTGCTCTTGTCACTGCGCTGTGTGTCCTTGTTCTGCAGGTCCTTGCTCCAGCCATCTCTGGGGATCTTGCCCAGAATGTTAATTTCTTTCACAGGCTTTTCTGACTTTTGGTGTTTCTTCTGCTATCCGAGAATAGTTACAGTGGCTGGTTTCAGGTCTGCAGAAATAAACCCTTTCACAGCACAATCTGGGTGATATAAATGGTGGACACATTTTTCAGCTCCCAAATGATTCTCTCTCATTCTTTTTTGTGGGGCTTTAAGAGAGTTGTGATTTCTGAGGTGACAATTTAATCCTCTGTGTATGCTGGCCTGTGAGATCCTGCTACCCACTAACTGTGGATGTGGAGGAGGCTGAAACACCAGCTAAGGTGACAGTGTTACAAGTGATGCTAAGATTGCACCGTGGGAGAGTAAAGTTACCTAACTTGTGTGGTGGTTTCTCGTCTAGCTCTTCTACCCTGAACCAGAACACAGTCTATCTTGGTATCAGACAGCTGAGTGGTGTGTACAGATCCTAGCAGCTCTAAGCTTGCCTAGCATGACCTGTCAGAGCAGGTGAGGAAGAGTCACAGTAACCAAGGGTCTAGCAACCAAGACTCTGCCCCTTAGGACAGTGTGAGAGACCAACTCCTCCTCTGAAAGAATCTTACAGCTGTTTTCTTCCCTGTGCAGGAACCCTTGACGGATGCAGAAAGGATGAAGTAAGTGTCCTGCTCCCCCTTTACGCCTGTCATACTGCAACTGTGTTGGCCATCCTCACATCCTGACTGTGCCACCTGCACAGCAAAGCTGACTGGCCCTGCGGGCTTCTCTGAGATTTTCAATCTTCTTGGGGCCATGTGGGCAGAGCTTAGTTTTTGCCTTGCCAACCTCTGCCTTGCATGTCTCTTCCCCCTGGAGCAGGAGGGAACATAGACCCTCAGTGCAGGTGCAGGCAGAGGAGTTGGTGAGTGTGAAAGAAAGTAGGAGATGAAGCCTTTAATACAGGTAGAGAGAGCGTGCCTTTTTTAACCCTTCTTGTTGACACTGTTTTGGTGTAAGCCAAAACTGAGACTGAGGGTGAGAGCTGAACCCTTTGGTGGTGTGGGGCACAGACAGCTGCTAGCACTGAGCTTAAAGCCATAGTGAGGAGCAAGCTTGCACTGCCAGAGAGAAGCTGCACTTCTGGGTTTCTCTGAGCAACTGCGCACAAAGGAATGAAAAACAGGAAATCCTTCTGACCACTAGGCATGTCCTGGCTGGGGAGGAACAGAGCAGTTTGTGGGAATGGGGTTGACTGGAAGCTGTGATCACATTTGTACATGCACCCCACCACCTCTGCTTCTGGGCTTAAGGCTGTATGGAGTCCTCTTTCCACCATGTTTTAAAGCTGTGAGGGCTTCTGAACAGTTTCAGGGGAGGAGAAAATTATTTTACTCTTTTTGCCTTCAACTCTTCTAACCTGGACTTGGATAAATTATTCAGTGGGTTTCATTCAGCAGTGAGGGACACCGGAGCTGTGCAGCTCATCTGGCTAGTGGGCTTTATCCAAGCACTGTAACCCGAGAGGGAGCTGGGAGCCATGGCTGGCCAGCTGGCAATGTGCTGCTTTGCCTCTGCTCCAAGAGAGTTTGAGTCTCCCTCTTCTGACAGAGATGTACCTCTCGCTGCCTATGCTGAAGACTCCTGCCAGTTCAGCTTCTGACTTCCTGGGGCCCCTGTGTGGGGCCTTGGGTCCTAGAGCAGAGCAGTGGGGGGGTGCTAGTGTGGAGTAACCCTTGTGCACTCAGTGGTACCTTGTTCCTGTGTGACCCAGGCTACTACAGCATGAGAATGAGGAGCTGCGCCGACGGCTGACATATGTGACTAACAAAATGGAGGCAATGGAGAGGGAGCTGGAGTCAGGTCAGGACTACCTGGAGATGGAGTTGGGCCAGAACCGTGAGGAGCTGGAGAAATTCAAGGACAAATTCCGTAGGTATGGAAAAGAAAACGAGAGGGATAGAGCTAGAGAGATCCCCCCCTCCAAGGACTCCCTCAGCTGGTGAGAGCAGGCTGTGCTTTGTTGTATAAATCAAAGGCATGCTGCATCCTCAGAAAGGTGCATCTCCAGACTGTAGGGGAGTTAAAGACTCTGCAGCCATTACTTCCTCCAGGGTACAGTGTAGGAATGCTGCCAGCGCGAGGGGCTGACAACAACAAGGAATTCTTTATCTATTGGATGTAAGGCAGGGTCCAGCTTGGATGGTGACCCCACAGGTGCAAAAGAAGCCACTGGTGGCTGCAAGAAAATACATCACCACTTTACTTGAAAAGTACCTCAGTTAAAAATCAATGCCAGTCACTGCTCACAAGAGCTTATACATGACATAGGTCAGAGGAATCCTCCAAAGTCATTCACACCCTCCCCTGCAAAATCCTTTCACCCAGCCAACCTCATCTTGCCTCCAGTAACTTGGGGTCTGAAGGCCATTATGTGGCAGAGGTGAGGCACAGTTAGTATGCCTGGTTGTCTTTCCAATCTTTCTGGAGTTGTGGAGTTGGTGGTTTGCTTGGTAGCTATGAAGGGGACTTGAGTAGGTGCCTGAGATCCATTCCCATGTATACCTTGTTTCTGCAGGTTGCAAAACAGCTACACTGCTTCCCAGAGAACCAACCAAGACCTGGAGGAGAAGCTGCATGCCCTGGTAAGTACTATTAAAACACTACAGAGAGAAGGTGGAAGAGACCTGTGTGTTAGGAGCAGATGGGGGAGGGGGCCCTGGCTTTACCCAGCAGATGTGGCAGTGGGTGAGGGGTGAGATTATGGCCATGACCATCTACTCCCCATACCAGCTGGTGTCATGAACAGGTTTCTTGATTTACTGAGCCCCTACTTGGTCATGCACATGAGCTTTGGTTCCCCACAACATAATTGCATGGTATTCCGTCATGTTGCTTCAGTCCCTCTCAAAATGCCAGGGCTGTGTCAGCCAGTCTTGGGGTGGTCATCCTGGGAGGATGGGGGCAGTCAGAGCAGAGCCAATGTGCGTGTATGTCTGTTGTGTGCATTCATAACACTCATGGCTGTTTCTTTTCTCTCCCTCCCCCCTCTCTCTCTCTCTCTCTTTCCCCTCCCCATGCTGCTGCTGGCACACGCTGGGCGCACTCACCTCTCAGGCCTCTCTCAGCCAAAGCTGGATTTTTGCAGTTGCGTCTTTTCGTTTGTGTGTTTTTTCTTTTTCCTCTTTACGTGTCTCAGCCTGTTGGTTTCACTGTCAATCCCACATACACCATCCCAGATGGAGGGGCCCCAGCCCTCGTCCAGCCAAGGGCTCACCTGGTATCCAGCAGCTGCCCGCAGATGCAGCAGGTCCTAGCTTGCAGTGCTCCATCTTAAGAGTGTTTGACTCTGAGCCAGCTGGAGCATGGCGTGCTGGGAAGTGGTGCCCATAAGCTGTGGCGCTGCACAAGATGTGGATGGCTGTGAACCTCATTTGCTCCCTTCCCCTTCTGGGCTGTGAGCAGGCAAGTCAAACAGCTGAGATGCTGATTGCCTCCATGTAGTCCAGGATGAGATTTTTTTTTTTTTTTTTTGGTTCTAGCACTTGAATTTCTTGGGTTAATATTCATTGTGATGGTGCCTGAAGAGACTGCGTATGTGGGAAGCATTGTCATCCCCTACCCGCTTGTGTGTCGCTGTGCTCTACCCCCGATGCACAGCTGGGCCCTGGTGGTCACAGCCTCAGAGCACCCTTGGGCAATGTTGGAAGAGCTTCTTGAGAAAAGGATAGCTTGGTTGTTCTGAGCTGTTGCCACTCTCTGCTGTTACACCTGTGTCTCTATCATCCCCGTACTTGAACTGTTGGGGAGCCTAAAGAAGCAAGATTGCCTGCTTTAGGGAGGGTGTTAACTGAGCTCCAGATGAAGCTACACAGGTCCTTTTTCTTACTAGAGCAACGCTTAAACTCTTTCAAGATGGTGCCCTCTCTGCCAAACAAACTTTTTGCCTATTCAGCATTGACTGCTGGATCTTTATGGGCACTATTCTCATTTTGTTGCCCCAGAGAAGAGGGCTGGGTATCACAAGCTCAGAGGTCTTTGCTGCCAGTGGCAGGATGGGATTGACTGCTCAAAACCACTAGCTTTCCACGAGACACTGTATGAACCAGGGCAGAGAGGAAACATGGTTGTGCTGCAAGAAGAGATAATGCATTAAGGAGCTTCGTCTCTGTAACGAGCAGAGTGGGTGGCTCCGTTTGGCCTTTGGAGTCCCTCCCTTGGTAAAGAGCCAGGCTATCCCCTTTGTCTGTCTGTCTGGAAGTTTTTGTATCTCGGCTGAACATGTCATTGGGCTATGCTTGGGCTGAGGTGGGTGGTGAAGCCAGGTTCTTTTGTACTGGGGAGATTTACACCTGGTGTTCTTGCATCCCAGATTAAAAAGGCAGAGATGGACCGCAAGACGCTGGACTGGGAAATTGTAGAGCTCACTAATAAATTGCTTGATGCCAAAACCACCATCAATAAGCTGGAGGAACTCAATGTAAGTGTCAGTTTGCAAATGGCTGTGGAAGTGTGTGAAGTGTGGGCTTTTCCTCTTGTTCAGAGTCTGTGAAGGAGCATGTGAATGACTTCAGTGTGTATGAAAGTGTGAGAGCTGCACACAGGAGGGACAGACAAACAGAAAAGGGTCTGAGGGGTTGAGCAAGGAAGAACTGATCTTCAAGTTAGATGTATTTGCTCTTTTGAGCTTAGGGTTTAACCTGAGTCCAGGCTATACCAACGGAGGGTCATTTACTCTAGAGCTGGGAGAGGGCTGATGCCTTTTCTACACCATTAATATACGAGTTCCTGGATCTGGTGCTTGTTTCTATTAACTGCTCTCAACTCCCTCCAGTCTGTCTGTCTGCAAGATGCCTGACATCAGGCAGTGTCTTCAGGCATGGCTGTGAGGTCTGGGATGGGATAGCAAATCTGGTGGGACTTTTGGAGAGTATTAAAATCCCCAGAGGGAGAGGGAGTTGATACACTGACAGAGTATATGCCTGGAGCAAGGGCTGGAGTTGAAAGGGACACCTTGGCTAAGTTGTAAGAAAAGAACACATCGGTGTGGAGAGGAGGGAATGGCAGGTGCCCTCATGCATTCATCAGATGCCTCCTCCTGCTTCTGTTCAAGCAGCATCTAGTCAGGTAGTGGCTTTTTGGGTAAGAGATCGGGCCAGTCTGACACTGTTGCACACCTGTGTCCTTTCTTGCAGGAACGCTATCGACAGGATTGTAATCTTGCAGTACAGCTGCTCAAGTGTAACAAGTCCCACTTCAGGAACCACAAGTTTGCTGATGTGAGTAGCAGTTCTGCTGAGGTGGGGAAGAAGGGCTCATGGTCTCCGCCTGCATCTTGCTTTCTCCAGCTTTCTCTGCAGGGCTGTTGGCCTCTCATCCCTCAGCCTCAGACAGAGGTGTGGGGGGACTCCTGTTCCTACTCCCACTGAGAAGGCAGCACAGAGCCTCTGCCAGCTCCTCTTTCACACCAGCTCCATTTCACAGCTCAGCCAGGAGCTGTTATAAAAAGAACGATAACCTTGAATTTGATAGCTGTTGGGTGCCTGATGGGAGCTGGCAGGAGGACAGACACTCTCTCTTACCCTGCTCCGTCCTCTTGCCTTCCTCACCTGGCCACATCGAAGGGCCACACTGCCTGATAAGGAGTCCAGCAGCAGTAGTCTGGGCCTGCTTCACTTCTTACTCTGAGGAGAAATGTGGGAGGCAGCATTCAGGGTGTCTTAGGCCTCCTGAATGGCAGAAGTTGGTACCAATTCATACTCCCCCTTGTGGGGTCTGTTCAGCTCATCCTGCTGTCAGGATGAGCAAAGATGGATTTTAGGCCTTTCATGTTGGTAGCATCACTTCTTTGGTTGGAAGCATCATTCAGGCCCTTACCCCAGCTCTCTTTGCCATACCCCTAGTCTCCATCCCTTATGTTCCTTTCAGCAAAACCATGTACTTGTCTTTTTTAACTTAGCAGGTGACCAATATGTCACCCTCCCCCATTGTGTCTCAAATTAGCACTCTTGAGGTCAGTGTATCAGTTACTGCTGGGCTGACCTTGACCTCTCTCCCAGCTGTCTCCCCCTCCTGCAGCTTTAAATTTTGCTTCCCCCCCTCCCCCCCGCAAGTGCAGCGTCACACATGGCTGCCACTGGATGGGGTGTTGGTGCTGAGCAGCTGTGCAGACAGTCTGACTCACAGCCAGCTGTTGTCATGCTGTGTGCCCTGTGTCCCCAGCTTTGGACACAGTTTCCTTCTGGGATGGGATAGCAAATCTGGTGGGACTTTTGGAGAGTATTAAAATCCCCAGAAGGAGAGGGAGTTGATACACTGACAGAGTATACGCCTGGAGCTCTGATGGGACAGACCTTGCTGTGCACAGTGTGGCTTGTGGAGCTCTGCTCTCTGCTTCATGCTCTACATGGGTGTGGTGGCCAAGGTGAGGGCAGCTCAGCAGGATGATGGGGAGAGCAGCAGTGCCCATTTGCATGACAAGGAGCAGTGCTTACCCTCTGTTGAGACCCTAGTCCTGCAGCTTTGGTAATAAACCCCATGTTTGCCTCTCTGAAATGGAGTGAGGATGTGGGACGAGGTGGTGGAGTTGGTGGGGAACAAGGGAAGGCATCGATTCTGGTCTGCAGGCAGGCTGCCAAAGCAGCATGGCTGCAATTACTGCATTCGGGGAGCACTGTGGATCCCAGCACTGGGGGCTGTTGAGTCACTTCAGTGCAACCACTGGCTGATTTTCCACAGATCAATAGAACCCTTCCTAGCATGTGCTGGCTGGACCTTGTCTCTGTGCTCACAGGCATGGGGGACTGAGCCCATGTGCCATCTTTTCTTGTTCTTTTTGCAAAATGGGGCCTGTGAACCATGGCCTAGAAACATGACTGGTGTGACGGCTAGAGAGCTTTATTAGTCCCTCACATGGGGCAGGTTTGCTTTGAAAGGGATACTTTCCTCAACATAATGTATGCGAATGTTATGGTCAAGATAAGGAGTACAAAGTACATGTGAAGGTTGGTTGGAAAGGGCAGATTATTTGGAATTTAAAGGCTTGCATGGCCGTCCCCTTCTAATGTCCTTTTTGTTCTCCCTAGCTTCCCTATGAGCTGCAGGACATGGTCAATAAGCATTTGCACAGCACTCAGGAGTCCTCAGGCCCTGGTCAAGAGGCAACTCACACCTTGGCCCCGTCTGATGTTGTGCCCACCTCAGTCATTGCCAGAGTCTTGGAGAAACCAGAATCTCTGGTTCTGAATTCAGCCAAGTCTAGCAGCGGCAGCTGTCCCATGGCTGAGGATGTCTTTGTGCATGTGGACATGAGTGGAGCTCCTCCTGATGCCTGCAACAGCGCAGGGCAGGTGGGGAAGGAGGGAGGAGATGCGAGGAAACAGCAGAACGGTGGCTGCAAGCCACAGAGCAGTGTGGAAAGCGTGCCAGAGGAGGTGCCTGCCTTTGAGAAGCTAAGTCCGTACCCTACACCCTCACCTCCCCATCCTATGTACCCTGGGCGCAAAGTGATTGAGTTCTCAGAGGACAAGGTAAGGATCCCAAAGAACAGCCCTCTGCCCAACTGTACATACGCTACACGCCAGGCCATCTCCCTCAGCCTGGTACAGAGTGAAGATGAGAGCTGTGACAGGCACCAGACGCTCCCCAACAGCCCTGCTTCAGAAGGGCACCGTTCGGCCTCCAGCTGTTCCTGTCAGCAGTCCCCCAAAGCAGCCAGGGCTCATGGCTCCTCCCAGAGCAGCCCATTCAGCAGCCCTCCCCAAATCCCGAGCGCCTTTGCCAGCTCTGCCAGCTCTGAGGAGGACCTGCTGGCCAACTGGCAGCGTATGTTTGTAGACAAGGCACCCCCCACCTCAGAGCGGGTGCTGATGAACCGCACAGCCTTCAGCCGTGACACAGCACCTGAGCTCCAGAAGAGGTTTAGCCGCTCCATGCAGGAGCTGGGTAGAGCAACCTCGGCTTACTCGGATGGTGAGGAGTCTGCGCAGAGCTGCAGCTGGACCATGAGCCGGGACTCGAGTGTGGACACAGACAGCACTGAGTCCAGAGCCCGCAGGAGCCATTTCTCCTCAGACTATGGTACAGATTTCTCCCAGGATGAAGCCCAGAAGCTGTTACAGGGAAGCGGTGGAGGCACTGGTGAGCCTGGAAGCCCCTCACCAGAGAAGCACAAGGACTATGTGGACCTTGGTTTGCCTGAGAGCCCAGCTGAGGAGAGAGAAATGTTGCTTCATGGAAGCAAGGAGAGCAACCAAGGAGGTGCCCAAGAGGAAAGTGGAGAAAGCAGGATCAAGCCTCCCTTCAGTCGGCCACACCGCAGCCCCAAGAGGATGGGCGTCCACCACTTACATCGCAAGGACAGTTTGACACAAGCTCAGGAGCAGGGCAACCTTCTCAGCTGAGGCAAGGCAAGAAGCAGCCACACGCTGCAGAGCCGTGGGCTGCCTTCATCTGTCCACCTTCTGAGGGAGAAACCTCCCTCGGTGCCCTCCTCCTGGAGGGGCTCTGCTCTGAAATTTTATATTTATTCTCTTCTTTTGCTACCTGGAAGAGCTGAGGTCCCTCTTCCCTGGAATCTCAGACCCACAGTACTAGCACACACAGTGTGCAGAAGCACACCCACTGCCCCAGCACACTCGCAGCTCTCTTCACAGCCTCACACTGGTGCCTGTACCAGAGCTTATTCTTGGTACCCCTCATCCTGGTGCCTGTGCCTCTTTATGCTTATATCTTCCTTCCCCCTTCCCACTCAAGTACCTGAGGCCCTGGGTGCTCTCGTGCTGGTTGCCCGCAGCTGCTCTGCTCTCTTAACTTGTGCCAACAGGGCAGAGTGCCTGTGTGGTGGTGTCTGATTCCCTGGGAGCCCGCAGGGGCTGTGAGTGGGGCACGAGGACTCTCCTAGCGGATGGCTGTGGGCCCCTGGGGATGTGCTGGGATTGCTGGTGTCTTATTTTCCTGCTGTGTTTTGTTTTCCTCTGCTGCCCTATGGGTAGTTCTCCAGAATCTGCCTCTGCAGGTCCCCATCACTTGGCTCCTGCGTCAGGCTCAGCACCCAGCCCCTGCTGAGGCGATGCACAGTTGCCTGTGCTGTGGTGTGGGGTGTGGGTGCTGTCTGCTGAGGTGGTTCAGGGAGACACTGCCTGCTAGGCACTGGGGTTTGTGTTTGTGTGTCTCCTCCCTCACATCTCTTCCCTTGCTCTGTGCTGTCATTTTGTTTGAACAGTGCTGATGCTTTGCTCTTGGGTGGGCTTGTTTTTTCTTTCCAAGCCTTTGGTTTTGGGGTGTATTGTTTTTTCTTTCTCCCCGCCCTGCATAAGCAGACACAGCCATTGGCAGCCAGTTTGATGCCTGCATTTAGGGTGTGTTGAGGAGGCTCAGCTCTCAGAGCTGCGCTTCCCTCTGATCCTGGCCTCCAGCCTGCAGAAACCCCTCCAGACTTGAGAACAAGGTCTTGCCCTGGGTGAGCAAGACATGAGGATGCTACTGAGCTTTCCTGGGCAGGCCTCAGTGTAGGGGCTGGTGGGGATGTGAGGGCAGCACGCTGAGGAGCTGCTCCCTGCAGATGCACTACCTCAGGGCTTAGCAGCAGCCCTTAGCCAGGGTCTCCTTGCATGCCCCCTTCTCTGAGGGGCTCCAGGCTGGCTCTGGCACCTCTCTGGGGCCTCCCCTTCTGCGTAGGGCCTCTCTGTGTGTTTTTCCTAGTGTAGTGTGATACTGTGTGACTTTTCTCCAGTCTTGTGTGCTTGGTGTCTTGTTGGGGGGGAGGGAAGGGGAGAGGTCTGTAGATGTAGGTATTTTTTTGAGGTTTTACAAAGCCCAGGTGTTCTGTTTTAATTTTGTCCTGTGCCCTTGTCTGTCTGGTGTTTCTTGGCTCCCCTGGGGGCGTGAGGCAGAGACTAGCCTGGTTCCCTGGGCTGTGTCCCCCTCACACCCCACCAGCTCTCCTCAGCCTGCTGTCTTGTTTTTTGAGTTGGGTTTGTGTTGTCACCCCACCCTACTCAATGAGGGCTCTTCACTGGGCTGTAGGAGAGCAGCCCTCTGTCCAGGAGGGAGCTCCCATTCATACACTTACAGCAAGATGTGCAGCCAAGAGCTGCCTGGGGGCCCTGTTCCACTCCCCAAACTCCTGTCTCTGCAAAGGACCTGCAGCTTGCAGCTGGGGCCAGCTAGGGCTTCAGCTGGAGCCTGGAGGCTCCAGGGCCTGTGAAAGGGAGCTGCAGGCCTCTAGTGGCTGTATAAGTTGGTTTGTGTGCCCTGGCTAGAGCTGCTGCCTACACACTCGCCTTGTTTCCCACCTCTAACAATTGTGGAGCTGGATGCCACCCCCTGGTGCAGAGGTGGGACTCAGTATTTCATTACAGTATTTCGCTTGATACCTGTGCAAACAGGCTGGTGCTGAGAGCAGGAGCCTCCTCTGAGCCTGCAGGACGTTCATCTGCCCTGTCCTGAACGTGGTGGTGGGGTCCTTGTGTTTGGTCTCATCAGCTACTCCACTGCTGCATTTCTTCTGTTCTTCTGCAGCGTTGCAGAGGGCTTGCACCCGCAGCGGCTGCCAGCTCCTGCCTCACAGACATCACCTGGGGTTGGATGCTCACTGAGTGAGCACCTCTGGCTCTGAGGCTGCTGGTGGCCTGATAGCACAGCCACTTGAGCAGTGAGGGAAGCATTGCCCCTCAGGGCTCAGCCCCATCCCTGCTGCATTCTGGCATTGCTAGTCAGTTCCTGCTCTTGCTGAAGCAGCTGGTGCTGATTGTGCTGGGCAGAGCCAGCCTCCTGCTTTTGGTCAAGGTAGACCTAAAAGCAAAACAGTGGAGAAATGAAGGGGTGGCAACAGGGTGCCCAACACCTCACCAGACACTTCTGCTTCGCAGCATTAGGCTGGTGGCAGAGGTTGAGGGGGAGTGGTGGCCTCAAAAGGAGCAGAGCCCTCTCCCAGCGGGCACAGTGCTTGCCCTCTTCACGCCTGCTCACCTCCAGCAGTATTGGCTCTGGGGCCTTGAGCTGACCCCACTTTTGGTGTCCCAAATCCAGACTGTTAATCTGTAACTAATGTGGTTTTTTTCTGAAATTTTCAAACATGTATATTTTAAGACCAGAAATAAACTATTTTAAAAGTAGGTGGCAATGGCTATAGTGTTTCTCTGTGGGTTAAGACCGGGACTGAACCTATCCTGAGTGCGTGAGGGAGCAGAGCCTCTCCTGGTATAATGTCCCAAGTTTGCTGAACTGCTCGTCCCACCCGTTGGCTCTCCCAGGGAGAGCGATCCTGTGACCTGTAAGCTTTGCAGGTGGCTGTGAATTAACTGGTCATCCTCAATGCCCACTTCGGCAACAGCCTGGTTCAAGATGTGTCTGCAAATCAGGTCATCTGTGTTGGAGAAGAGGTGTAGTCCTAGGCAAGGAGTGATGTGTGGGATGAGCGGTGTTTTCCTTCTGTAATAGTATCCAAGCTCTGGAAGCTGCTCTCTGGGTCTGAATGTAGATTGTCAGCTGAAAGATCAGACTGAGCCTGCAGACCAGAATCTGTTGTTCACAGCGGCACTTGTGTCACTTTTGACTCGGAAGCTGACAGCAGCCTGAAAAATGGGCAAATTGTTTTTTAATGTTTCTCAAAGTTGCCTGATTAAATAATGTGGTCAATTTTCACATTACTTAAAGGTGGTAAAGGCTAGAATTGTCAAAACCTCTGCAGTGAAGCTTGTTGTACTGTAAGCAGCCTCAGTGTTCCTCATAAAATTCTGCCTACCCTGTTTCAAGTATTTTGCTGGCTGTTCTTCCCTCAGATCTATGTCTTGGCAAATATGTCCACGTGCTGGACTAGAGTAGGAGGAGGTGTAGCTAATTCTTTTAATATTTGTTGGTTTTCTTGAAGCCCCAGCTCTGAGTCATGTGAGAGTAGTAGTTCTCCATTTTAGAAACTGAGATACATAGCCCCAGTTCGTAACAGTTTTATAATTCTGGTGTCAGTATTTTGTGTTTTTATTTTGTGTGGGGAGGGAGGATTGGGATTGATTGGAGGGTTCCCTATTTGGGGTACATCCAAACATGACAGAGAGGGAGGTCCTGTAGGATGCTGATACGGACATTTGGAAGTGTTTCCTTTTCATGTTGAATGGTGCTTGCAGAGGTCAGAGGGCTGTGATGCAATTTCCTCCATCTCCCAAGTTGTGCTGCCTGTGGCCTTCTGACCTAGGTGTATCCAAAGCATAACACAGGAAGAGTTTCTTGTTTCTTTGTCCCCGTAATTAATGATTTTATTCTGTGTTCCTTTGAGTAGCAGCTGCTGCCACAATGTAATCTTCCAGCCTAATCAGAGCCTTGAAACATGATCTTCCTTGCCTAAGCTCTGGCACCGGGCGCTTGGCCAAGCAGCAAAACCCGCAGTGCTGGTGCGGGCTGAAGCCTTCACCAGCTGGTGCCAAGCTCCCTGCAGGTGGGTTCCCGGGGCAGCGGGAAGGCCTGGGGGACAGCAAAGTGGGCTACGACCCACCTCC